TCCAGTCCTAGTATTCTATGATTCAGGGACATCCAAATCTGTGTTCTCACTGGGATGGATGGTTCTTCAGCTGTTTTTTTCTTTATTTATTCTCAGATGTCCTCATGTTTCCTGCTATTCCTGCAGCAGCAACAGTAGACTCACACTTCATTCCTCCGAATAAGGAAAATATCTTTTCTCAGTGTGTGAAGAGCAACCAGTTTCTTCACCCATGAGAACAACCTCCAGGAGTGCGTGATATTAACACTCTCTCTCCATCTAGACATTGGTACTGCGACCATTACTCCAGAGACTGGGCACATACAAGAAGTCAGGGGAACACACGGTCTATCTGGAAGACTCGGCTCTGCTTCAGATTTCATCTCCTTTCTTCCATACTCCATGTCCGTTTCCAACACCACCCACTTCACCAATCCCTCTGTCTTCATCCTGATGGGTATTCCTGGACTGGAGGGAGCCTATGTCTGGATCTCCATCCCCTTCTGCGCCATCTATGTTATAACTCTCTTGGGGAACGTTGCCATTATGTTCATTGTGAAGCTGGATCGGAGCCTCCATGGGCCCATGTACTATTTCCTCTGCATGCTGGCCCTCACTGACATTATGCTCTCCACCTCCATCCTGCCCAAAATGCTGGCAATCTTCTGGTTCAATTCCAGGGAGATCAGTTTTAGTGCCTGCCTTGCTCAGATGTTCTTCTTTAAGTGCTCCTCATTAGTAGAGTCTGGGATTTTCATGGGAATGGCATTTGATCGCTACGTGGCCATCTGCCATCCCCTGAGACATTCCACTATCCTCACAAACCAGGTGGTAGCCAAGATCGGCCTGGCCGTGGTGCTGCGTGGTGGTATATTCACAATACCCCTTCCTTTAATGGCGGGGAGGTGGCCATATTGCAAAACCAACATCATCCTCCAACCATATTGTAGGAACGCATCCTTGGTGAACCTGGCCTGCGCTGACACCCTTGCCAGTAATTACTACGGCCTCTTTGTGCTTTTCTGTGTGTTAGGTCTGGATGTGATATTTATTGCTGTGTCCTACATCCAGATCCTCAGGGCCATCTTCAACCTCCCCACCAAGGAAGCCCGGCGCAAGACTTTTGGGACCTGCAGCTCCCACCTCTGTGCCATGTCAGCCTTTTATATCCCTGATGTCTTCTCCTCCCTTATGTCCCGATTTGGCCAGATTGTGCCCCTTCATGTCCACATTCTCGTTTCCAACACATGCCTCCTGTTGCCGCTCATGCTGAACCCCGTCATCTACGGGGCGACAATCAAACAGATCTGGGGCAGGGTACTCCAGTTTTTTACACATAAAGGGGCCTAAGGTTTTCTACTGGGGCTGAGCTCCTTCCAGAGCTGACTGGTGAAATGGTGCTGTGCTCTCTTCTCTGAATCACAGATGTGCACTAGGGATGCAATAGTGTTGTCAATTAACCGATTGACGAATAAGCCTAAGCTTATAGGTTAATGCCACAGACTACATGCATTTCCCTCTCTCCCTGTTGCCACAGAGGCAGTAGCATGGAGCGGTAGGGGCCTCCTTCGGTGTGAATCCAGAGCGCAGTGGCTGCTGGTCCCATCCCCAGGGAATATAGACTAGTAAACTAACCAATAAAAATTAATGAGGTTACTCGACTATTCAATTAACCGATATTTAACACCCCTACTGTGCACTCAAAAAGAGATTAAACCCTTTCTCGGCCAGACTGTCCTGTGTTGTCATGAGTAACTGGGGAATAGTTGGACGTCAAACTCCTTCACTCTTAGGTTTTCCCGATTTCTAGTTGCTGACAAGTGGAGCCCTTCAGTCCTGATCCTGGCCCCGCCTATTCCCCTCAGGCTGTTCTGCCTTCTCCGTCTCACCCCCATGTTTCCACTTGTGTTCCGCCTCTTCTCCCCAGTGGTTTTTCTTTCCTCTCCAACCCCAATGACTTGCTTATCATGGTTACCTCCTTCCCCACCCACTGGGTGCCCTGTGACTCTACAATCCAAATAGGAGCCAGCAGTGAGGTGAGGACGCAGTGCCGGGATCGACAGGCTAGTCAGGAGCAGAGTGGGAAGCCTTATAAAAGCAGTGGAGGGTTGGTGGCAGGTCAGAGAGGCAGATGGGGGAGGCTGAGCATCACAGAGCTGGTGGGCCTAAAACCTCAGTTAGAAAGCCCTGAAGGGAGATACTCTTGTGTGGCTTTGGTTCTGTAGTGTCCTGCTCTGTGTGGCTTCTCATGCTTGGGGCCTGTTAACTGCAGGGACACGGTCCTCAGGGACAGGGCGAGGGATGAGCTTAGAAGGGAGGGGGACAGCTGTGAAGAGAGGCAGAAGGATAAGCCCCAGTGTCAGCTGGGAAGGCGGGCAGCTGGGCTGAGGTGAGGGGGGCTTCCATAGCTCACAGGGAGGGAGATAAATGGCAAACCTTCCATTAGCAAGCCATTTACATGGG